AAATAGAATTGTAATCCAGTTTTAAAAAAGTCAAAATTGAAACATATGAAATGGCTTAATTGCCCCTTCTTATAAACAAATTCAATCAATTAACCGAATAATCCCCTGTTTTCTTCCATGGCTTTTCCAAATCTTACTGCCAAATCGAGGCAACAAATTATATGAGTGATGATGGAAACGAGTACAAATTTCTCTAATCAATTGATCACAATCCGAGGCAGAAGATGAAAAAAGAAGCTTTGTGTTACACCCCTGTTAACCGTCTATGGATTCCCAGCAAGACAAGGCTATGAATAGCTTGTTCCAACACTCACAACTCACTTTGTAAGTAGTAGAAATCGTGCATAAATGTAAAGAGGCAAGTAGGCAATAGAATTTACGGGTAAAATCCCAACCTCGTATTATAAACTCGCAATACAAGGAAATACACCAAGACTTGCACAACACAATTCCCAAATCTCTCGTATGGGTTGTTGGCTAAGCCAAACCCGAGATATATACATGGGACGCCAGTTAAAACTGCCCAAGGAATTCAGGAAACATGGATACAAAGCCAGCATACAAAAAAGTAACTGCCGGTAACCGCCCAGGCCACCTGTCCCGAGAAAACTCGGTACCGTTTCCTGCTAGCCACGCTGAAACCCGGGACTGCACCCAACAGCAGTCCGGTTAGCCGTCTACCAAAATTTTACTGCCCAATTCTACTCGTTCGTGCAAAGTTCGCGTCACTTGACCGAATTCCCACAAAGTCCCGGCCTTTCTCGAGATTTCATAAGCCGGTTTCCCAAAAATCGGTAACCAGCAAGCCGATGCCTCAAAATCTCGTAACACCGTTCCATTCCAGCCCAACTCTAGAGCCAATCCGACAGAACAAGGGACCAGCACCACCCCGCACTTGATTTCCTGCATCACATGCTTGTTGGCTGCATGTGAAATGCGGACTAAGGATTTAGGGGTCTAACACTTAGACACTTCAAGTTTTATTGGCACGATATCTTCATTGGGCAAATTAATCTTCAGTAAAAATTGTCTCTCCACCGAGATTAATGGTGAATGATTTTGGGATGATGAGGATAATGGACAATCCATTAACTTTAGGTCCCAAATCAAGTTCCAAATTGGTCAGAAGCGCTCATGGAATTTATGCCTCTACCTCACAAGAAGAGATTGGGTTTCAAATTGCTCGTGGATATGCTCAGCCGCAACAATTCTGGTGGTTTAATGAGAAAATGATGGTGAGAAAAAGAGGTATTTTCGGTAGTTTCTATAGGCGAATCGACCTATAGAGACAGAGAAAGAGTGGAACTAACCTATAAACATTGTAATTTGAGGATAAATAAATTTTCAATCAGGGGTAAATGTGGATGTTTGGAGGATAACTTGAGTTGTACCATGTTAAGTTGGATCAAATTAAAAAAAATTGTACATTTTGAAATTGGACCATTTTTGTGGGACATAGGGGGTATAAGTTAATTTCTAAATGACATAACTAAATTTCAAAATTAAAATAATCAGTAAAAGTCGTGATTCACTTTTACCATTGGACCAATTAACTATAACCTTATCAGCTTTTCAAATTTAATTAATCCACAACAAATTACCACAAACTACGAAAACTAGATCATGATTAAAATTCATATGCCCATTGTGTTATATAACTAATTTTATCTCGAGTTATCATATCGGTAATTAATTAATACAAACATAATAAAATTAATAACTATTTTTTTACTATACAATTTGACTAAACTTCTAATTACATGATGAGTGATTATATGGTGAACACGGTTCACCATATTTGATGCACTTGTTATGTGTACACACGCGTCTCTTTTTGATGAATATAATTAATTATTTGATATATTAATTATGGAAATAACCTCAACTTACAATGCAAACCGTAATTTTCTTTAAAAAATAGGATTGAATTTGTTCAAAATACAAATTGTGTATGTTCAAATTCTAATATGAATTAGATTCATAATAAGACCCATCACCTCTACAGTAATTCATTCTTTTCATAAATAAATTTCCATAAAAAAAGTATCTTATCGTGATTTTTTAATATAATCAAATTGAATTCTTCAAATATCTATGGTAGTTCATTCTTTTCATAAACAAATTTCATTATTTTATTGCCAAATTTTCATGTTAAAATTAATACAATTTCATTTTTTGTATGGCGGTACATATTCATACTCATCTTAAACATAATTCATGATGATTTTGGGCAACGTTCACTATTCAAAAGAAACAGAAATTTCAAATATTATCTTATAAATATACATTATTCATAACCATAGGTTACAATGTTCATAAAAAGAAAAGGGGGAAGTGTCTTGGTGGTTGAGACAAATTTCCTCTTTCCAAAGGTCTTACGTTCGAACCCTAATAATAGGTTACAATGTTCATAATAAATCTACATATTGTTGATGCTAAAAAAGAAAATAAAGTGTTCATAACTATAAAACGCAAAGTTCATATTACATTTACACACCGTTCATGCAAAACATAGAAATAGTAATTGCTCATAATTAGAAGATATAATATTCATAACAAATTTATACATTATTCATATTATTCATAAAAATAATAATACTTATTTACATAGTATTATTATTGTTTAAACCCCAAAAATAAAAAATTCATGACTGTCAAAAATATTCAGGATGTATTAGAAATATTTATATTCAAGATATCATATAACAATGTTCCTGATGCATTTTAAGGCTCCGTTTGGTTGCATTGAATTGAGACCAAGAATTGGAATTGGAGCTCTTTAATTCCAATTCTTGTGTTTGGTTAACAAAAATTGAAGTGGAAGAATTGGAATTGCAATACTATTTTGGGTTCAATTCTTTGATTTTAATTCTTTTGTGGGGGTAAATAATTGGAATTCAAATTCAAGGGATTAAAAAAAATTCGCGGGTCTAAACCGGGTCATTTCCGGGTTATAACATAAACGGGTCATCTCTTCCTTTTTTCCCTTAAGTTCTTTTCTTTTCTTTTTTTTTTTGGCTTTCAGCCCTTGCCCTTTTTCTTTTCGTTTTGTTTTTCTTTTTTTCAGCTTTTTGTCTTCTTCTTCTTCTTCTTCTTCTTATTATTATTATTATTATTATCATCATCAACGAAATCAATCTAAAATTAACATTATATTTTTTTGAGAAAAAATCAAAAGTATAATTGTCCCAAAAAAATTAATAAAAAAATATTTTAATTTTGGGTTAGAATTTTTATTATATCTTGACACGTAAACACCATAAAATTTTCAAAAATATTTTATAATTGTTCCATATGTACACCTATATTAATATATATATATATATATTAAATAATACATGGCATTTTTTCATCAAAAATTCTGTAAGTTGAATTTTAAGTATATTTTTTTTCATATATAACTATATACTAAAACTAAAAATTTTAAGCAAATTCCAAAAATAATGTCAACATATATAATAGAAATTAATATTCATAAAATGAATTTATATTATATACAATATTTTTTACTAATATAGGGGAAAAAATCAATAAACCAAAAATTAAAAAATTTTGAAAAGTAATAAAAGAGAGGGACTCAAGGATGTTTACATATCATAGTAATAATTCTTACGCAATATGTTTCTTTTGTTTCCTACAAAAAAGTGTGTACATAATAAATCACAAAATAATATAGCAAATTAAATAAAAAATTATTTTTTCAAAAGGATTAGTTTAAAGGACAACAAAGTAATCTAATATACATGTACACAATGATTTTTTTGTTTTATACATATCCGTGATAGATTATTTTGACATAGGAAATTAAGTTTTTTTTAAAAAAAAAATTTGACATGAAGTATAAATTGTATTAATTATCTAGTAACAAATTAATTTCAATTCTAAAGTATCCAAATTTTGAAGCATCCAAACGCAAGAATTGGTATTAGAACCTTAATTCTAGTCAATTATTAAGATCTCCCAAACAAATAAATTGAGATTGAATTGCAATCCCAATATTTTAATTTCAATTTTTTTGGATTGTAATTCTAATTCAATTCCAATTCATTCCAACCAAACGGAGCCTAAAAGAATTTATCATATTTTTACATTTTCATGATGATTGGTCGCAATTTTCATAAATATGGTGTCTAATTTTCATGACAATTTGTTATGGAAAAATTTGAATTAAAATTAATTTACACGGTTGATTTGGAGAGAAAAAGGGGAGAAGTCAGATTAATTATAGAAATAATTTATTTCTGGGAGAAAAAAGTGGAGAAATTAAATCAATTAAGGAATTGATTGACATAGATTAGTTGCGCGTGAGAAAATTTTAAAACAAGTTATAGAATTTACTCCAATTTTTCTTACGTGTTTTACAAATAGAAAAACAGATGCATCATTCTTGGCGAACACGGTGCACGATACAAATTGCCTTACACGATACATGCAAAAATCATTATGTACTAACTATAATAAATCATTCTTTATGTTCCGATGAGTTCTTCAACATGTTCAAACCTAGTAAATTATGAGATCAAACTAGCTTTACTTTGGTTCCATCCTAACCAACACAAGTAGAAAACCCAAAATGAATGTAAAGAAAAAACAAATGTTTGAGTACTTTCATGGATAACTTCTCTGTTTCATGTTCTGCTGCGATTTGATTGATGCTACTCAGACAAGCACAAGACGCGTGCAGCAAATTGTACGCAGTACGCAGCTACCCTCTAGCCTTTCTCTTCATAAAACCCGCTCCTATCTCTTACAATTCTCCACCCCTCTTCTCCCCTTTTGCTTTGAAATTAAACCCTTCATCCCTCCATGAATTTATCAAATTTCTTTCACCACTTGCGCAAATTCTCCCCATTTCACAATCAAACATCTGAGAATTCCACTCGGTTAGTGGAGCCCATGAGAGATTGGTCAGCCCTTTTGCCGGAAATGTTGGCGGAGATAGCAGTACGCATACCGTTGGTGGAACGTTCAGAGGGGCTTGCGATCCGCCGTTTCTAAAGATGATTTCTGCTGTTCCTGCCGTACAATTCCGTTGCTTATGCTCCCAGAAAAAGGAGGTCGCAGTGGAGATGAACGTGAATTTTACAGCCTGTCGAAAAGGAAGGTCGCCAAGAGGTTATCAGTCCCTGAGGCGAAGGGTAAACAGTGTATAGGAGCAAAATCTGGATGGCTGCTAACCTTTGACAAGGATTCAGGGGAGGCTGAATTGTTGAACCCTTTATCTCGTGCTAAAATCCCCCTAACCTTAAAACCTCCTTCCCTGATTAGGCAGATTTTGGCATCTCTCCCGAGGATCCATTTGTTGTCGAGCGTCCATTTATTACAAAAGCAGTTCTGTCAGCCAATCCATCTCACACATCGGACTTTGCCTTGATGGTGATTCACAGTGGCGGTAGTTTCTTGGCTTTTGGAGACCCAGTGAATTGACCTGGACCAAGATAGAATCTCACAACCCTCATCATAGATTCTCAGATGTTAATTACTACAATGGAAAGTTTTACGCGGTCGATTGTGCCTACCAAGTTCGGGTTTGGGATGAATTGGCATCTGATCTTAAGTTTGCCCAACCGCTGTTAAGTCTGGATGAACGATTGCTTATGGGTGGAGTACCATTTTTAGTGGTGTCATCATTAGGCGAGTTACTGGTTCTTGGCCGACAGGATTTTACTTACGAGGATGTGGAGGAGGACTCGTTTCCAATCAAGGATTTGTGTACTGCTTTTGCTGTTGTCAGATTGGATGTGATGAATCGCAACTGGGAGGAGATTAGTAGGTTGGATAATGATGCTATTTTCGTTGGCCGTAGTCCTGCTGTTTCCATTGCGGGCTTCTGCCTTCCCAGGTATACTTAGGTCCAATTGCGTTTATTTCACCGATGATGACTTTTCCTGTTTTGAGGTTGGTAAGACGAGAATTTACGATCTTGAAGATGCAAGTATTGAATGATTAAGTGACATTGAATGTGAGGCACCGGCGTTCTGGATATAAAGGCGCCAGCGTCTTATTTAGGGCGATTAGGATGTCTTTGCATTACTTTAAGGTCATGCGTACCTCAATTCCTGATGGTTGTCTGCCTCATATCAGATAAGATAGTACGATTATGATTTTGTAGAAGGACCTCCTATGGATGGTATGGCTCGCACTCGTTCTTGGGATGCAGCACAATTGCCCTGTTCTGTTGTATTTGCAGGCTTTGTTTAAGGATATCGGGGATTTACTAGGTAACTTCTACTGTTTGTGGTACTAAGAAAGTAGAGTCGTTTTAGGATCTTCTTGATAGATTAGCCAAAGTATGTTTGAGAATGGGCTGTAACATGTAATTTTTGGGGGCTAAATGTTGATGCCAGTCTGTGAAATCGTGTTAGCAAGCGTGTTGTCGCATATTATTGTTTCATCGTACTTTGACGAAGTTTCTCTCTTCGTGTAAGATGTTAAGCTTCAAAATGGAGTTCTGTCCATTTGAAAGTGAAAGTGATCATGTTGAAACCGTATTAGAACTGTCTTACTTGTCTTCAATTCCACTATCTAATTTATGTGATAACACAGTTGCTGAAACCGTATTAGAACTGTCTTACTTGTCCTCAATTCTACTTTCAAATTTTTGTGATAACACAGTTGTGGAGTTTCGACCATATAGGAACACATGTATTATTTCTTTTTGAAGTTTCTTTTCTTCCTTGCTGCTGTTGCATATGAATGATATGATCATTTTGGTTTATTAATTGAACTAGGTTCATCGGTGGTGGCTACTGCTGTACTTTGTATAACGGTTCTTTGTCATCCATGTCAGCTTCTAACAGGTGAGATAAAGCAACCAAGGAAAGCCTCGCATCAAGGCATGTCACAGCAGGGTCTGCACTACTCCTGTCAACAGGAGTAGTGCAAAAGTTGATGCTATCGGTAACAGCCCCAGCGCGGAGAAGTTAAGTGCAAAGCTAGGGTTCAATCCCTAAGCGCCCATCTGTGATGTCTGAGCCGGTCCCCAAGAACAAGGCGATCGCACCTAAGAAGAAATCTGAAATTGAGTATTTTACGTTTGTTGAAGCAGTGCTCTAACTGGCCTACTAATCTATATTTCTATGTGATATGATTTACAAAAAAAGAATGATAAATATAAAAAATAGGGAGGGAACTATTTAAATCAAAGGCTACAGCGTCCAGACGTCGTTCAAAAGCATTTGAGATGTCGAGATCACAGACCTCTCAGTGCAGAGTCTGGATTATATTTATGATCACTAGCTGACTTCAGAGGATGAGCTTCTTATAATGGTGCGAGTCGTGTGACCGGATATGTGGATTGCTTGGTGAATGAAAACGCAACTGATTTTGTTCAAAGAAGGCTTTAAGAGCACAATGACCCTGGTTAACATGGTCTCCAGTTAACCAGTCAAATCTTTCCAGTTGAAAATGTCTAATGCGGCAGTAATGGTTACCAATTTGGGACTTTATTAGGCTTTTTAGGCAAGGACAAAAATCCTATTAGTTTGGGTCTGAGATATGGCACTCCTATAAATAGTGTAATAGTATCCCATTTTCTTGCCCAGAGGTAGTGGATATAAGTCCAAGAACCCTAACGGAGCCCATTAAACCTTCTATATGTGCCAAAGGTTGCGTTTTACTTTCTAAAAGACTTGCAAATACAACATTAATTGATTCTTAAATGTAAAATTTGAATTACGTTTCGACTTAAATTTTACTCTCTCTTGCATTTGTTTGAATAAGATTGACAATAGAGCCATTGAATTTGGATATAAGGAAATTTATTTTGATATATTTTTTATAATTTTACTCGTAGAGATTTAATATTTTTTTCCAACATAAATGGTGACACGGCGGTCATTTCTTTTAATAGGAGAGCAAATAAACTATAAAAAAACTTTTCTTCAAACAATTATTATAGTAAAAATTAAATTTTAATGTATTTAGTTAGAGTTATTATTTTTTTAAAAAAAATCAAAACTATGAGTATCGGCTTGATATGTTTTAAGTAAGAAAATTTTTAGTTATAGTATGATATATATACATATATAATTTTTGCTTTTATAGTTGTTCTAATAATAAAATGTAAATTTATTTTTAACCAAAATTACATAATTTTGTTTTTGAGGGAAAACATTTCATGAGAGTTTAATCGTTCAATCAACAGTTTTTGTCCCTTTTTCTCTCTTGAACTTTATTTTAATACAATATATTGATAGTTTCGTGTTTCTTTCACAATTACGGTTACATCGAAATTAGTTAGCTTATATTTGTTCGATCGAGAAAAGGCAGTCCTCCAAGTTGATCGAACGATTTGCATGGAATTGACGTGGATTAGCAAGAGATTCAATGAACCGAAAAAAAAAAACTAAAGACTAAACAAAACACTAAAACACTAAATTTGGTATTTTATATAGACTTTGCGTTCTAACAAACAAATTAAATCAGTGTATCATTTTGGTGTAATGAATAATGTTATACTAAATTTGATGTAAACTGTGAATTGCACAGTCTTTGTGTATATTTTTTTGCTTTGCTCTATATACGTGATTTTCTATATGATTGAACTTGTAAAATGAATAGTATTTTGAAATATATATCATATTAAATATCTTGTTGACATCTTCAAAATAAGTTACATAGTGATTATAATATTTCTTTCTCTAAAAAAATAGTTTCAGTCATTATTAAAATTAAATATGAACAAATTGATACTTATAAAATAAAATAAGGAATTATGAAATAATCTACATAATAAAACTATTACCAAGCTATAATTTTTTTAAAAATCAAAATAAAATTTAAACTATAAGATTTGAAAATTTGGTGTATCAAAATAGGGGTGCAAAGACATTTAATGTAGACACATACTTTGAATATTATATTTTTACACAAAATTTCGTGCGAATTATAGTGAAATGGTTGGAATGGCTCTATGGTTGGAGTTGCTCTTACTGCTTAAATAAGTCTTTCACTGTTGATTGATTTAATTTTTTTTTTATTTAAGAGTCGGTCGACAGATTTTATCTTTTATTTTTGGAGATAACGTAGGCATCAGTAGAAAAATGATTCTGAAAAGTTCAGAAAATACCGATATTAGACATAATTTTGTATAGGTCTAATTAGATTTCTTTTGAAAGTATCAATATATTTACTGATATTTAAATCTTCATCTTTATGACGGTCTCTTGTACAGAGTAAGTCTTAAGCACTGCCTTAAAAAATATTTCTGGTTATCTATAAATTTCTCAGGTACTCACCTAGTTAAAAAAAATAAAAACAAAACGTAGGCATCAGTAGCTAATCAGTTAAGTTTTTTAGGAAGATTTGTTAGTCTTGTCTAGCATAAAGTAAGAGTCCTATTTAGTTTTTCATGTATTTATTACTTCCATCTTATTTCAAATTCAGTCTTTTGCTGAGTAAAAATATTATCAGTCTTTTGTTGCTAATGAGATCTTTTTCTCCTCTCGTATCCCTATTCTTTCAAATCTAACCCACCTCTTAAAAAGAATTTCTTTTCCCCATCTTCCCTCATTCGTCGATGGGAAATGATTTGATTTCTCTTAGTTTATAGTTCTTTTTATCGTTTAATAAGTGGAATTTGTCTCCAAAATATTTTTCCTTCAGTAGATAATTAATTATAATACATTGAGAAGGTAGGGTTTTTCTTGTAATGTTCATGGTGTCTTCTGTATTGTTACTACGATATTCCGTAGTTTTGTTTATTGCTTCACAGTTCACACTGTGCGGTTCAAGAAGATTCAGTGATCATAAATTTATTTGATAGATTTATGATTTGGGCTTTTATCACATGATTAAATATATTTTTGATCACATTGATTATTTGGGACGTAATAAATTCATCGTTGTATTAGGTAGATCTATATAGATTTATCCACGATAAATACAACAATAATATTAAGTTGATTGTAAGTTTTGTTTTTGTTTTGAATGTATCTTTCATTATCAATTGTTGCTGAAGGATTTCCAATAAAGTAATATGATAAAGTTTTTATTTTTTAAAAATATTCAGCCTTTTGTTGATGGTTTCTCGAATCTGGCCTCCCTTTTTAATTTTTTAGAATATCGCCAACCATTTTAAAAGGTTTTGAAAAAGTAATTATTATAATACTAACTAGATGCTTGGCCCAGATAGATGCCCGGGAGCCCTTCTACTTTAATTTTATGTTAATAGATAAATGAATTCTTGATTTGAATAAAATAAAATAACTACACATTTGGTTTTTTCCCCTTTTTAGCCAAAAATAAAAATAAAAATAAAAAAATTATCTGCCAAAGGAAAAAAAATATTGAAAAATACAACGATGCAGAAATCATACAAAAGAATGTGGAGTAATAAATGGGATAAGTTTATAGGCAAATTTAAATATTATTTTAATTTGATTGATAAATGATAAATGTTAGGAATTAAAATTGTGTAGCTATTTTTGTAAAGTAGCTTTTATTTCTCTAGATAAGAATTTTTTTTTCTTTTAAAAAGGGATGACACGTGGCAGAATGGTTAATGCAATATGGTGCATTTGGAGCCAAAAATTTTTAATAAGAAATTGCCACATCAACATTTTGTATTCTGCTTTAATAGGGTAAACGGGATTTCAGTGAAAATTAAAATGATGCTTTTTTTGTTATAAAATAATTATCTAATTTAAATTTTCACTTTAAGTTTAGAAATAAAAATCTAAAATGAACAAGACGAGTGGAGTGTTTTTTTTTTTTTAAAAAAATAAACTTCTGAAGATTACATCCCAAAAAGGTTAATTTTATGGGTAATAAAAATAAGTTGAATTTGATAATCACTTATTTTAGTTAGTTAATTTATTTAAATACTTAATAAAATCAAGTGTGTTAAATAATCACCATTAAAAAGTCGTCATAGATTAAGTACTGAAACAATTAAGTACTTATAAATTAAGTACGTTTGATAAATAAAATCACACCATCTAAATTTATTTAATTAAGTGGGTCTGAATGTCTAGATCAACTGTTAACAAAAAAAAAAAGTAGTTTATCACCCACTGTGGTTTGTAGGCTATTGCATTGCACGTGGGTTTACCCATCTTTGGTGGGGTTCCCGGCGTTACCAAAAGAAAAAAAAAAGAAGAAGAAAAAATAAGTAATAGACTTACCAGTTATCACTAAACACTGAATTTTTTTGCAATGTTTCATTTTTATTTTCTCTTTTCTCTTTTCATCTTTGCTCCAGAAATGATTTTTATTTTTTACTCTTTTAATGCTTTTAGTTGGTTA